AAAAATTATGTAAAATAACAACAAAAATAATGTTTATCACCGGACATGTTAGACGTCGTGCCCGTTTCCCCCATAGGTCAACGAGTTGAACCACTTATGGAGGAGCCACCTTTAGGCGAAGAGGTGGAGTGGGTTGCTCCTCCCTTGTTTGGTGTGGCACTGTCCCCGAGTGCTCTTGAGACTCCCCTCCAAATGATTGACGACGGGATGCCACCGGTCTATGTGATTGATGTTCTGGATCCGGGCCCAACTCCAACTCCTCCATCTCCGGTGCTTCTGCTTGAAAGCCCTCCGCCTCCAATGCCTACTCCATCCGGCCACCTGGCTAAGAAGAAGACCACCCTTTTAACTCAGCGCCCCTTGTTGTTTTATTTTTAAGTCCTTGTTGCTTGTTTTTAGGCTTGTATGTTTACTATTTTCCCGAAATGAAATGAAGTGACTGTCTCTTTATGCGTTCGTAATTTTTTCCTTTTCCATCCTTTATCCGCACGACTCGATGGGGCAACCACTCTAGGTCCAAACGCTAAGTGGTCGGCCCAACAGTTAAGTGGGTTGACCTCCTCGGTTCGGACTCTTGGTGGTCGGTCTTGAACTAGGTGGGCTGGCAGTCCAAGGTCCAAATGCTAAGTGGTCGGCCCAACATATAAGTGGGCTGACCTCCTTGGTTAGATTCTCGGTGGTCGGCCTCGAAACTAGGTGGACCGACCGTCCAAGGTCCAAACGGTAAGTGGTCAGCCCAACGGAAAAATGGGCTGACCTCCTTGGTTAGACTCTCGGTGGTCGGTCTCAAAGCTAGGTGGGCTGGTTGCCCAAGGTCCAAACGCTAAGTAGTCGGCCCAACGGATAAGTGGGCTGACCTCCTTGGTTAGACTCTCGGTCTTCGACCTCGAAACTAGGTGGACTAGCCGCCCAAGGTCCAAACGCTAAGTGGTCGGCCCAACAAATAAGTGGGCTGACCTCCTTGGTTAGACTCTCGGTGGTCGACCTCGAACCGAGCGGGCTATCCTTCCTGGTTTTTGCTAAAAACTGTGGGCTTTACTCCATCACAGGCCGGGTTATGGTGCCCCGGGCCTGCTTGTAATGACCTGTTCATCTTTGAAACCCTACACCCTACTCTTAGCCGCTTCAGTAACCCTAGCCTTTCGCCAAAGCTGCCTTTTTAGTTTTCAAGGCGCATTTAATGCCTCTGTACCATCACGTCACTTCCCATCAACCGTCACCTTCCCGGGTAACCCGTCAATACGCGTTAAATAACATATATAGATGAGTATAAACAAAACAATTTTGAGGAATACAGTATATATCATTTCAAAGCCATGGAGAGAAGTCAACTTCAAAGACTCATCAAACACTCTCAAAGAAATGGGAACTACCATCCTCACAACAATGACAAGACATCAAACATGAAAGACAAACAACTCAGGATGCATTCTACTAATCACAAAGTAGAATACATCAAGACATGCTCATAAGCAAGGAATCACATTCACACGGTGACAACTACATGTCACAAGTTGCATAGTTCCAACCTTATGCCCTGTTCCAACCTTATGGCTACCCCCGGCCTTATTTCAGTTCCAACCATTACCTCCAAGTGACCCCTATACTTCTGAGTCCAACCTTATGCCTCCGGGGACCGTCATCCCCCCACCTACATCCACCCACATTTCCACTTACATATTAGTACACGAGGGTACGATTCATTTCACACAACCACCTACATGTGAGCAAAGCTCAAGTAACAACCACCCACATTTAAATCATAGTCACACAAGTCATCATCATTACCAAGAAGACTAAGGCTCAACAATAGCCTCAATCAAGTATCAACAAAAGGTACAATGATTTGCACACGTTCACATCATAGGAACCAATCAAGAGATCACAATGAAAACATGAGCCCATACTCAATCAACAAAGGATTACAACCCAACACCAAGTGATTGTCAATACAAGTTGCCAATCTCACTACGAAGGAACAAACCACACATACTAGCATATCAACATCAAACTAGCATGCTTGTCAAACGGGTAAACCAAAATTAGTTCCAAAGAACATCCAAGACTCACATTAGCCCAACGAATCACAAAGTTGGACCATTAGCATGATTCAAGACACTAAATCCTACACGGATTCTTAACATACCGTTCTAGACATATGAAATATCAAGAAGACTCACAAATAGCCCAACAAAACAACATCGGGATGTCAAAACATCAATACCAAGTCAAAAGAATCACGGGGAACAAATCCCCGCCAACAACCATACACATTCCCCGCGGGTGGGGCCATGGGTGGACAACCACCCGCGGTTTCGCCTGCGGGTACATGCCCATGAGACCATTGTTCCCCGCGGGTGGGGCGGCGGGTAGGCCTCTGCCGGCTGTTCCGCCCGCGGGTATACCCTGTACTCCAAATCATCCCTTCGGGGATTTTCAACAACAAGTCCAAATTCAAGTCCAAAACACCCAAAATCTCACACACAAAAACAATATGACTTGAACCCAAGAAATAGCCAAGTAATGGCATTCAAGAATCCTAAGAACAAGCTCTAAACATGCATCACCACAATACAATGCATCAAATCTCACAAATCAACACAATAATCACAAGTAGAAGCCAAGAATCATCATATAAGTAAGAAAATAGGTTTTGTAAAGCATGGGTTATCTTTGTAGCCTAATAACTTCCTCTTTTCAACCTTAGAAAGCCTTTCCTAATGCTCCTCTTCCACACCAACTTCATACACAAACCAAAAGACAACAAAGATCCTATCTTTAGAAAAAGATACCTAAAAGAAGGTTAAAAACATCAAAGGACCAAGGATCTTACCCCCCCCCCCCCCCTATGCTCAAGATAAAGAAAGTAGGAATCTTGGGAGACAAACTTGCAAGACTTTGAAGCTCAAATCCTAGCTTGGAGAAGAAGCTAAACCTTTTTAGAGAGAGGCTAGAGATTTTTGTGTTTAGATTGAAGGGTGAATGAAATGAAAGAATATTGCTAGGTTAGCTTGAATCACAAACCTTAGGTAGAAAGACATTCCTACCCTTACTAATGTTGGAAAGACAAGGGGACAAGGGCACAACTCAAGAAGCACAAGGTACAACCCTTTGACTTAAGTGACTAGTCAAAATCTAGTCCCTCGACTATTAAATTTCAGGATTTTTAGGAATAGATTAGCAAAGAGACTTGGATTAATTCTTCAATTAATCCTTGATTAGTGTTTGGATTTACGGGGTGTCACAGCTCGATTGTCTGCATTCCTCAGAGATTCCGACGAGTTCGTTGACGCTACGCTTCAAATAGTATGTGGATCTCAAAAGCTAGACCTTAAATTTTTTCACAAAACAGTGGGAGGAAATAACAAACACATTTTAATATTAATACAACGGAGGACGATGTCGTTTTATTCAGTTTGGAGGACAACACTGTACTAATCATGGTTATTGGTTCATGTCATGTTGAAAAAATTTATCCATGGTCGGTTAAATATTTCATTCATGACAGTGTGTATGGTGAACTTAACACTTTAAACATATGATAATAATAATTATGTTAACAGTTGTTGTAGATACGATCATTACTACTTATTTACTTTATTTTTTTAGTTCAACATCTAATCATTATATGTTACGAATCATTACTTATTAATTGCATTAATCATTATCTATAAAAGAAAATAAAATTGAATTTGTATTTTATTGTGTATACTTACATATATATGTATTTCAATCAATATAATTCTATATAGATGGTATTTCTTTTTTTTTTTCCGTATTAAGCAATGTCGTCTTTGTGGAAAACGATATCTCAAAAGCTCAATGTCACCTACGCCAAAGACACTTTCCTTGTTTTCTATTCCATTTTAAGAATTTTCCTATTTCGACAACCGTGCATAATACTCTCCCCATCGAGTTAAAGATTCGGTTTTAAAGACCTCGTCTGATCTAATGAACATATAAATTATACGTGCGCGCAAGGAATGCTAAAGACAACAAGATTACAAATCAAGGAAACAATTAAGAAACAATCAAGATTCCTTAAAATTATCGAGATCTCAGGTTGGAATTCGAACTCAATATTTGGGTAAATTCAATTACAAATGGCATCAGGGTGGGAGAGGTATCTCCTTTTCCGTCCTCGTCTCTGATGAATATGAAGTCAGTGGATTCCTCTAAGATAAAAGAAAAATTTTCATCTCTAGATCTAATAATATCGGTAAAATCCAAACAAAATATTATTCAAGACACTTTAATATTATCAATTATCAAAATTTTAAAAACTTTGAAAACAAATATTTAATTTTTCTATTAACAAATATGCAAAACAAACAATTATTTGGAGCATCCTTTATCCAATTGAATGATTGATATTTATGAGAGGAATTTTTTCTGAGTTTTTTTTTTTTTTTTTTTTTTTTTTTTTAGTTGGAGGGGATAGAGGAGAGAAGAGATGAGAAATTATATTTGCACAAACAGGAAGATGAGAACGTGTATTCTATGTATTCAATAATGATCGAGAACCAGAGATGATAAATACAATAGAAACCTATCTATGATACACAAGACAAAGAGTCCAAGATAGAACACAATACTACCGAAAGATGTATTCCTAATAAGGAAGAGGGTGTTGAGGGAAGACAATTCCCACATTTTTGTTCTCTATTGCTGACGAGAGATGAGATAAAGATCTTTTGGTCATTTTTTTTGGGATCATATTATAATCCAATCATCTCATTAATTAGAAGAATTGGAGAGACTTAACTAGATCTTGGTCCCTTTTCAGATCTATGTTTTGGAAATTTGGTTGAGTTTTGATCACTAAAATTTCATCATTTTCTTCTTCTTCTTCCACCCTTGTTGTTTTGGTTGGTTTTCCCGGCCTTATTTTTATCTAAATTTACTTAATTATTTCATATTATCACAATATAACCAGTATATTACAAACATCATACCGTCTCATTAACAACAATGCATAAGTAAATCTTAGGAACCCAAAATTAAAAGTAAGATTTGCCCATAAAGGAGCTATATTGATATAATAATTAGTTTCAATAAACCCCAAGCAAACAAGAACCACAAAGACAGCAAACACAAGTGATGATAATCCTAGGCTTGCAGTTGAGTGTTGGGCTGTTTTGTTGCTATTGTTATTATTACACACTTAAAGAGTTAAAAGACAATAGTCCACAACATAGCTTTAGTTTGGTTGGGTAATTTCATGCAATTCCCCTCAACAATTGCAAGGGTTGCAGGTGCAGCTTGATCCACACTTGCAGCCACTTGATCCACAGTTGCACCCATCTCCTCCCTCGGCGCCCATCTCAGCTCCCTCAAAAGTGTTGCTGCATATATTCAAATAATTAATTAATTAATTAATTAATAAATTAATAATATAATTTTTTTTCTCATACTACACTAGTATTCGTTCACATCATGCGAGATGAGATTCGTTCAGCCAAATTTTGAATAAGTTACTGGATCCAATTAAGGAGCGCGACTTATCGATATTCCGTAAGATAAAACTAATTTAACCAGATTTTGGTTGAACCTCATTAAGGGACTGGGATTAACCTAGTCGAGTTTCAACTAAATTAAATCTCTTGAAACTAATCCAGTCAAATTTCGACTTATCCATTAAAGTATTGCATAAACTAATATAAGAGTTTAAACTTCCAATGACATACACACACACACAAAAGGGTAGACATACTTCTTCATTGGTGCAACACCCTGAATAAGGGTGACAGTCTTGACATCCTCCACGTCAGGGTACATGCCACATCTGTCAAGAACAAAACTAAATTAGTCTATAAGCTCATATTTAAACGATGTAAGCCACTTAAACCCATTCACTTGAGCCAAAACTTTCTGGTATACATTATTTATTTTAAATGATATAAAAAACTTAATTCATAAAACTTAATACATAAATATGCATAAAACTTAGGGGTGTTTGAAAAATAGTTGTTGGCTAATTGGGTTAGTAGGGTTAAGTAGTTGATAATATTAGCTGATTGTAGAAAGATGTTTGATAAATTAGTTGTTAGTTGATGGAGTGATAGCTAATTACATGCAAAATGATTTTTTTTTTTTTTTTAAAAAAAAAAAAAAACTGATTGAAAAAATTGTTTTGAACAGTTTTTTGAATTTTAAAATTTTGGAACAATAAAGTATTACAAAAAGCTAATTAATCAAACACTTATATTAATATTTAACTAAGTCAAACTGCTAATAATGGTTAAATACACCAAAATTGACTGATAAGCTAATTATGTTACCAAACACTCTCTTAAAGATTTGTGTCGGTTCTATAAATATAATTTTTCGAATATAAAATGCAATGAAAACTGAAAACTTACCCTCCACAGCCGCTGCCGCACTTGCAGCCAGAGCTGCAGCCACAGTTTCCTCCGCAGCAAGACATTTTTGGGTATGAAATTAGTGGAAATGAATGGAAAATCAAAGAAGGGTTAGTGAAATAGGAATGAAGTTATCGTCTAGTTTGAGTTCATGGATAGAGGATTGGGACAGTATTTATAGTTGCGAGGGAGGGAAAGAGAGTGATTGTACACCCAACAAGTGTACAATAGGAATAATAATTTATTATCCTTGGATTAGAAAATGGATGTATGGGCGTTTGGTTCAGATAAAGATTTGGAAATTGGGACTTGAATAAAACAAAGGGAAAATGGCACTTTTTCCCCCTAAGTTATATATTTATAGCACTTTTTTCCCTTCAATTATTTATGTAAACACATTAACCCCTCAATTATTTTAAAAGTGGTGGTTTTTCCCCATAATATATTAAATTGACATTTCTACCCTTAAAGTAAACATTTTATTTATTTTACTTCTCCAACAAATTATTGCGTATATGTAGCGATTACCACGGTTCGGTACGAACTGAACCAGACAATATAGCAATCGAATTAAAAATTTTCGGTTATGATTCGGATTTAGAACCCAATATTTGGATTTCAATTTATTAAATTTAAGAATAAAAAAACTTGATCATGAACCGTGAACCGACGGTTCCGGATCCAGTTCACGATTTTGAACCGTTTTTATTTTAAAATTTTATTTTTTATTTTAAAATAGTCTAAATTCAACAATAAATGTATTTTATTTTTCAGTTCGGAACATGAACCGACAATTCTGGTTCACTATTTTAATAAACTCTAAATATCGCGTTTTGATTATAAATTGTAATTGGGATATTTTGGTTTGGTTGATATAGTATCTGTTTGGTTTGAACCAAAATATAGTAATAATTTGTTGGAGAAGAAAAATAAATGAAATATTTTTTTTTTAAATATTTTTTAAGGGTAAATATGTCCATTTAACATTTCAGGGGGAAAAAGAGCCACTTAAATAATTCAGGGGGAAAAAGTGCTATAAGTATATAACTTAGGGGGAAAAAGTGTCATTTTCCCTAAAACAAATGAAAAATGTTTAAATTAGCATCCAACTACATGTAAAAGTGTAATTGAGTCATTTAACTCAAAAAATATAATTGCCAAGTACTTTATGCTCAGATGCATGTAGTGACATCTCTCATGTTGGAGGTCATGAGATTGAGCCTCAGTGGAGGCGTTGTCATCGTTGACGTGGTGGTCATCATATTAAAAAATTATTATTTTTAATTTATTTTAATAATTTTAAATAAAATAAATAAATAAAAAGCCACCCTCTCAGCGATGACTTGAGGAACATGTCAAATATGGTCAAATTGTATTATTTTGGATAGTTCAAGGACCTAATTGCACTTCTTTTTCGTTTGATGGTCCAATTGCACTTTTGTGTGTAGTTCGGTTGCTAATTTGAACATTTTTTCTAAATTTAATTCAATTTTTTATCCTAAATTTATAGGTGACAATTCACTTTTAGTCAAATTTTTTTTTTTCAAAACATCCTCATTTGATTCTAGTATTATTGTGACATAACCATTTTAATCCTCTATCAACAAAACAGTTTAAATGTTGTTAAATACAAAGACATTTCGGTCTTCAGTTATGAATTTTGTTTAAGAAATAAACATAAAAGATATAACGGGTCAACATACTTTGAATTAAAAAGATCGAAATGTCATTATATTTAACGAATTTTAACTATTTTGTTGATAGAGGTCAAAAAATGGTCATGCCACAATAATACTATGATCAAAGAGATGTTCTGATAAAAAAACTAAAATTGGACTGTTACCTATAAATCTATGACCAAAAATAAAATTAACTCTTTTTTCCTAAAACAAATCAATGAATGGAAATTATTTTTGGTAAACGATTAGTTTTATCATTTTTATCTCACGAGTTTGGTATCACTCACACTATGAACATATTATCATATGAAAACTCGGTGCACAATTTATGTTAGTTTCACTTTCCACCCATTCGGTGAGAAAGTCAATAAAATCTCTATTTTGTCACATGATTTGCGAGTAAACAAAATTTGAATAAAAATCTCAATTTTACAAGGGCATGTGAAATTAATGGATATTTTTAATTTGTCCATAAACTTCAATTCGATCACTCATCAATCATGTTACAAAAATTCGGTGAGATAGCAGATCAAAAGTGAACCAAAAAAAAATAAAAACAAAAATAAAAGTTGTACATTTAATTACAATAGTAATTTACTTAATCATGCATTAATAGTAAAATAAAAAGCACTAAATTGGGAGAAGAAAAAACACTAAATTCATGATATTAACAAAAATGATAATTACACTAAAAGGGGTGGTCGAATATATGGGTAAGGTATGATTTTCATAATTGAGTATTACGACACGAGTTTAATTCTTGTGAATATCCATTCGATCAAATTCGTCGCACAAATTTTTCTAAGTAGCGTGGATTTATTTGTCACAAAAAAAAAAAAAAAAAAAAAAAAAAAAAAAAAAAAAAAGAAGAAGAAGAAAAGAAGAAGAAGATAATTGCTCATTGAGAATTATATTCCAATTACGTCCTTCAGCTCAACTCCGTGAATATGGATGATTTTAACATCATCCATCCAAAGTGGGAGACAGAAAGTCCCTCAATTTCATTGGATCAAGGAGATGGAGAAAAAGCAAAGAAAAAAATATATATATCTTTACTTTTCACAATAATAAATACCCTCATTTACATTATTAAATAACAGATATCTTAAATTATACATTAAATAATACAAAATAACAACTTTGCTATAAGTAAATATTTGAGTTCTACTCACTATTGTCCCTATTATCTTGTCAAATAATAATAAATAATAAAATTAAACAATAATTTTTAAATTAACTTTTTGAACGACATAAAAAACTCACAACTATAATTTAAGAGTATTTATTGATTAAATCATACTCCTGTATAATAATAATTCGTAAATCAAGTGACTATAACATTACAAGCTATAGCTAGAGTTTGATTTCTAGGCAACCACTAGAAGCTCAAGAATCTAGATCTCCAAGTGTTTAATAATAATACTTTTCTTCCATCCATTATTGTATCTTCAAAATTGCAAGTGGGAATGTCAAGATTCCTCCCATTATTTGGTTCCTAAAGGAGAAGAATCGTATAAATATTTCTAAAGATTTTGCAAATATTTTTATTTTTGTAAGGCATTTGATTCTTCAATTATTTATAAATTTTTATTATTATTTTATTTCTAGCATCATATCACAAGTTACTTTATATATCCTCTTTGTCCATTTTATTCCCTATGGAGTTGTATGTAAAGAATGAGTATTATGTATAGAGCAGATTTAATCCTTATTAGGGTGATGAGCTTAAGTAAAATGAATAATTTTATTTGGTAGTAAATATGAATTGGAATCAAAACAAATAAATAATTAATTAATTACGAAGTAATTAATTAAAATAAAAATAAATAAATATATATATATATGTGTGTGTGTGTGTGTGTGTGTGTGTGTGTTTATATATTAAAATTTCTTATTAAATACATGAGAAAATTTCAATTTTGGTCCACTGACTATTGGAGTTGTTTTAATTGTAACACTTGACTTTCAAAAATGATAATTTAGTACCTTGACTATGCAATTTCTATCAATTTTGGTCACGCCGGCCAAATTGCCTGCCAAATCTCACCGGAAAAATTTAATAGGGCAAATAATGAGGGTATTTTAGTCATTTTACTCATGTTCTTTCTTCTCCGATGAACTTCCCTCCATTTCCGGCGAGATTCCTTTTCCGATGGTTATATTTATAAGGTTGGTGTGGTTCTAATTCTATAAATATGAAGAACTAATTCAGAAAACGTAATTTATCAACCATCGCTAATCAGATTACCATTACTATAACCATTCACAGGAACTGCAAAAGGAAAGTTTGCTATTATAATTTATAACAAAGAGATCACCCTCATCAGCATTTTCCTCCCAACCCAAAGAGCGCGGAAATGCAGCCTCTTCCTCTGAAATTGCATCAGGACTGGGATGAGTCTTACCATTCTTAAGCTGTTTCTGCTTTCTCCTCCGCCACGCCTTCCGGCACAGCCCCACTGGGACCCGGTAAAATGCGAGCACCAGGAAGTCCAGAACCGCGCAGGGGCAGCAGCAGCATACCATCGCGCACTCCGCCGCTGTTCCCTCGGCGAACTTCCCAACTGGGCGGTGCACTACCCTACCCGGTGATATCTTCGCTTTTACTTTTCACCTTTTAAGGGATTTGAAAACAAATTATTTTGTCCAATTATGGTATGACTTGATCAGATACAGACCATAATTTTGAAAAATGGAAGGCCTTTATCCATTAATAGACATCTTGTAAGCGAATTATGTTAATTGAATCAGACATTCACCTGCACGGAAGAAGAAGCTCACCGAAAATGGAGAGCTCATGGGAGAAGAAAGAAAAAATGACTAAAATGACTAAAATACCCCCATTAGTTGCCCTATTAAATTTTTCCGGTGAGATTTGGCCGGTAATTTGGCCGGCGTGACCAAAATTGATAGGAATTGCATAGTCAAGGTTCTAAATTAACATTTTTGAAAGTCAAGTGTTGCAATTAACACAAGTGCAATAGTCAGTGGACCAAAATTGAAATTTTCTCTTAAATACATGATCAAAGACCTTTTTATTTTTTATTTTTTAATTTTATTTTTTCTCCTTTATTTTTGATTCCATTGATCAAAAGTAAGGAGTAAAAGGGTAATGATTTTGTAATTTATAAAGGATTTAATTCGAATAATATGATCACAAAAGTAAACAAACAAATATGATAATGGATATCAAAATTCATAGTAAGGTGCAAAAGTCTCCAACCAAAGACACCCCTATAATCAACTCTTGTATAGATTATAACCAAATAGAAAAACGAAAATTAAAGAATCATTTTTTTGTTGGGTAATCTGAATTAAAGAGAGTAAGAATGATTTTTCTTCATTCTTGTACACCAAAATTGTGCAATTGTTTCATTTCTTGAATCTTGATCACACAATGACACATTTTTACGTAGAATAGTTAGTTTATCAGTCAATTTTGACTTGTTTAATCACCATTAGCTGTTTGACTTGGTTAAACAACTAATATGAGTGTTTGATTAATTAATTTTTTTGTCAAAACACTAAAAATTCAAAAAGTTGTTCAAAGCAGCTTTTTGATAAAGTAATTTTGTATGTAATCACTAATAAGCTATCATCTAACAACTAATTTACTAAACATCTTTCAACATTCAACTAATGCTATCAACTAGTCAAACCTACTAACGCAATCAAGCTCAGCTAACAGCTATTAACCGAACACCCCTTTTTCAATCAAACAATCCATGTTTATGTATGAAGAACTCTATGTTTGATGTACAACGAACAAAGAGTACAAATACCTATGAATCATCATCCCAGTTAGTCCCCTCGGTAATTGCAAATTTAAACAAGAACTATAATTTCTATAACTTAACATCAAAGAATTCCTCTAAGAGATCATCAAAGATCAGCTCATCTAAAACATCATCAAAAGTCATGTCCTCTAGCTCTAGTGCTACATCCTCACTGTCCAATTGCAGGTTCATCCAACCATCATCTTTCTCCAAATCATGCCCAACTACACCATCAGTTGTCTTCTTCACCTCATCTGACAACCTTAGCCAGCTGCTAATGCTGCCACACACCACCTCAGACACCCGGTTTTCCGGTGGCAATGAACGAACACGACACCACGAAGATAGGGCTTTCGGGTAATATGTCAATGATCTGTCACACATATGAACCAACACCTCATTCGCCAAGTCAAACAGCATCCGATGATGACAGCATTCCTCGCCTTCTTCGTGCCACAAAGCCTCGATTTCTTTAAACAGCGAAGGGCTCATCAATGGCTGCTCTCTCAAGAACAAATTGAGAGTAGTTAAGCCTGAATTCTCAAGAAGATGCATTATGTAGCTTATGTCTGGATTCGTATGACTCGGTTTTTTAGTAGTTTCGAACTTCTGCAGCGACAGAGAACCTGTATTCAAACTCTCGTTCGAGTTTATTACAAAATCGTCCTCTGAACCTGCTAAGATTACAAATGGTTGATCTTTTTTTATACATAATATCAGAAAATAAGGAGTTTAAATCTGAGAAAGAAAAATAAAAAAACTGATAAAAAGAGTACCTTCTGAGATTTTAGAGGCTGCAGATACTTGTTCTATATCAGAAGGAAAAAGATTGATAAAATCCTCTTCTCCTCCAGAAGAGTCACTCTTGTCCAGTACTATTAACTCTTCAAACACATCATCTATCGACTCAATTTTCTCTCGGCTTCTCCCTGGCTTCTCCCCGACTAAACTTGCACTGCCCTCTTCTGGGACAGATAACAGATAATGGTGTGCAAAGGAGGAGGAACGAGGGGACTCAACTTGGTGCAAATTAATGGATTCAGCGCTCGAAACAGACCGGATCCTTCTTAATGGAAGAAAGGGTATCTCCAGCTCCTTTCTCACACTCAAGCTCTTACAAGTCTGCAACACCTTTTCCTTCCCAAAACTAGGCCCAAACAACCTAGTATACTTATCTGCAGATGAATCATCCAGAGAAGTAGTGCTTCTGAGTTTTTCTAGTCCTGTTCTTACATTTCTGCAACTTTCTTCAGTTCCACTATTTACTGAAACCCAAACTTCAATCTCCTTCTCTTTAAGGGCACTAGGTTTATACCCTCCTCTTCTCTTGCTTCCAGGTGGGGGATAAGACCCAGATTTCATTAATCTTGAATTGGCATTATAATTTAACTGATCACTCCAAGAATTCCCTTTCCCTGACTCTGAACCCTGCAAATTCTTTTAATAAATTTCTACCCAGTTTTCTTGAACTCTGATCAAAACCATAAGTTCAAGAATCTGACAAAAATGAATAACCCCAGCCAAGTTGGTCAGACTGTAGATCGACAACCACAAGGTTCCAAGCTCCACTCCGACCAGGAGCGACCCGTTTGCCTTGGTTTAATTAAGCCTATCAGTTACGATTAATCTAGGCTAGTTTTACCTCTTTATGATCCTTTATCGACTAGAATCATAAGGTAGGGTTTACCCACATCACAATCTCGAGTAGTGACTGCAGGTTTCCCTCGTCACTCACTCGAATATTGAACAAAAAGTATGTATAAAGCACTTACATTCATGTGGCCATGTTTATAATCTAAAAGCTTCAGTGATTCATCAGGATCGTTAGAAACAAGTTTTGTTCTTCCTGACATTTCACGATTCAATCAGATTAACACGGGGGATTACAACCTTTGACAGATACAAAATAACGGCGGAGAAGTATCAGAGGGAAAATGCTTACTTTTCAGAAACTTCTTCCGGGCACCATAGTAGCCGAGGGCGTGTTTGAATCGCCGCCACATGGAGCCTCCGCCGCGACCGTCGTCTTTTCTGAAGCGCATCCAATCAGGGTCTTCCATGTCCTCAAATCAAACCCAATTCTCCTGCCTGATCAGATATATCTAGCATGAAACCAAACACGCGGAGTGTTTTTCGGTGTCATGTCGGCTAGCTTCATATATATGTACGGAACAAAAAAATGAACAAGAAACAGGCGGGAATTGTATACCTGTGACGGGGAATTTGACAATGGCTGCCGGAAGTAGATGGGCGAAAGCCCGCCGCCGCACCTCTATCCGTCAACGGATTTTCACTATCGTCTAGATATCGTTGCTTAATATGGAGTATAGAACAACTGTATTTCCCTACAAAAATCACCCTAATATTTGTATTTAATTATTAAGTAATTTTTTATTAATTTATTATAATTTAATTTATAGATATGTAATGATTTTATTTATTATTTATTATAAATAATACCACAAGATTATGTGATGATTTACTCAAGAGTGTGCTCTTCATTATTAATAATAATAATAATAATAATAATAATAATAATAATAATAATAATAATAATAATAGGCCATCATTAATCTTTAATACTTAACTATCACTTCGGTTAATATGAGGTTAGACCAAAGTATTTGTAGTAAAGTTTTTTTATGAAAAGTGCTATATATATGTTGATATATATAGCGTAATACGATCCGATCAAGCGGGTCAAGATACGCTATAATGTAGAATTCTATTACCAAACTGGATGCAGTAGTGGAAATGATCTTTCACTTATGAGTTATGACACCGAACCTTGCTGCTTGAGAACTCGACTTCCAAGATTAAAAATGTGAATACCTTATAATCTCATCATCACTATTCATTACTACCTTTAAGTTTTAAATTGACTATGCATGGTCCACATAGTGGACCCTGATCTACAATATAACAATTGAAATTAGCCAACAGATTGACAATAGTCCAATTACTTCCGAATGATTTAGGGGTCAGTTAAACCAGAAGTAACGAACATAATTATGTACATTTACACTCCTAGAATGTTTGCCTTCTGAACTAGTCCAACGATTATTGGAGTAAGTAGTTCTCCCAAATAAAAACATACGCAGTAACACAAAGACACTAAATAACACACAAAATTTGATAACCCAGTTCGGAGAATTCAACTCCTACGTCTGGGGCATCACATGAAATGATTGTCCAATTCTTCATTGAACTCAAAGGAAGCGATATACTGAATCACAGTGAAGAACACGAAGGACTCATTAGTGAATTTGCTAAGACTTAGCTAATCTTTGAACATCTCATTCCTTGAAGAACCGGCATGAGATCTCTCGATCACTTGAATTGAGGCTCCCCCTCAATTGCAGTTGACTATCGTCAATTCCATGTGAGTAAACAGCACATAATCAGTAACAACAACAACAACAAAAGGATGATTGACTTGATGTAGAAATATTTATCAACTCAGGTATGATTATCAAGTCATTCGATTTAGATCTCTGAAACTCCTGGGAAAATGTATATGATCTTCTATGTAAAGTGCTTGATCGTCTCTTGTAGAGAGAGAAACTAATGTCTTTAAGTAGTTGATCCCGTAAAAGATCTTAAATGAATAATTGTCTTGATCCTCTTTTCGAACAACCTTCTCAGCTGGTTTAGTCTTCAACACAATAAGCCTGACTCATGAACTATCTTGAACTACACTTCGACACTAGTTTAGACTCTATCTATCTTAGGACAATGACTAAACTATATCTTGAACAGCTACTTTGTTTCGTAAACACTTAACCATACATAAGGGTAAAAGGTAATTCTTTGGCAACATATTTTACAATTAAACATTAAACATTTTATTAACAACAATTGTCAAATCTTTGTCCAACCTATTGACCACATTAATGGCATGACCCAAATTGCATCCCCTATGCTCTAAGATATACGGAGTAATATATAAGCTAGGTGTAAGCCCAACCTACAAATAATGAACCTAGATTTAATGAATATCATATTTCTAGGTAAAGGGAAGTGGGATGTGTCGAATATTTTCAACTATACTTTACAAATAATGAACCTCATGTACAACATAAATGAGCTGAATATACATGCCTAAATAATCAACTTTCAATCAATTTGTACATGCTCAAATAATGAATCATATGCACCCAAATAGTGAACCATATGAATATAAATAATGAACCCTCAATTACATGTTTGTTTCGAGAACTAGCATTTTCATTTAATGCAAATCACGTTTGAAGTGGTTCAGCAAGAAAAGGTGAAAATTATGGTCAACTGACAAGGTATAAATATAGCGATGGTGGGGAAAACAAGGTGGGGAAATGAATTCCCTGGTGTCGTCTTTCTCAAAGGATGGCAAATTTGGAGTTCAGAGTTGTGTGGTTGAACACAAGCGAGCCACAAACATACAAAAAGCTAGATGCAAGTGTGTGCAAGAGAGATGGTGTGTTGCAATAGCAACAAGACAAGCAAGCGAGCAAGTAAAGGAAGCAAACCAGAGATCAATAACTTAAAGGAAATCAATAAGATGGAATGGGACTCGGAATAGTCCTTCCTTGCATAGGTGTTATGTAGTGTCCTAGGTAGAAAATACAACATGTGCCAATATGGATTCAAGGGAGATGTTTGCTATTGCCAATGTATTCCGGACTTCTTGCCCTATCATGGAGTAGAATTTCACCCAAGTGACAATGCTACTAACATGGGACATTTCATCAAACACATTGCATACATCTCCTTCCAATTCGAGACGTGGCGATGTGACTTACCATAGAGGGATGTGGTTAAATGGTTAATGTTCATCTACTTATCACCAATTGGTTTTAAGTAGGATATGACAACCAGATAGTCAAATAAGTCTGCGATTAAGCGTGCTTGACTTACAACAGTCACGGGATGGGTGACCAACTGGGAAGTAAGCATAGTGCAGCGCTGAAATCCATCAATTTGTCGGAGTCATCCATGGAGTCGGTGATGAATGTCTAAAACTAATGCTTTTTCCTTGCAAATTTTGGTATTTTTACTGGTTAATCATTATATTATGGAGCCAATTTGGTAACTTATGGAATGATTGTTTGTACTTAGGTGACTTGACAATAAAATGATGTTTTGAGCCAAACATTGAGTTATTTGATCAAGATTTCAAGTCATCATATCATGAGGATATTTTTGTGAGGCAAAATGAAGAAAAGAAGATTAACAACACTCTTCCATGTGCCAAATATTTGTGCCTTATGTTGGAAAAAATAGCTTAAAACTGGCATAAAAAGGCATGTTAAGTGGCTATTTTGTGGTACAATTATCAGTGGGGTCCACTTCCAATTTGGGTCGAGTCAAAGTGGATTCGGATACTTCGTAGTGAGATGAAGAGATTGATATATTGTACGCTCAAAACGGATAATGGGTGAATGAGATATTGATTCTCAAAGTAGACCCATTTGAGTTGGAAAATGAAGGGAAAAAGTGAGCTTTTTGTCCCACATTGCTTTAGAATGAAGATTTTCCCCCCTTATATACAAGAGCTCTTTTGAAGCTTGTAGAATTGTATACCATAGAGGCTCTCTCGCGCACGCGCGGGGGGGGGGGGGGGTGCAAATCAAATTCGAACTAGCAGAGATTGAAAAAGGCTTAATATAAGCCCGGAAGTTGAGTTTCGACCATCAGGCCGAAACTTAACAGTTTCGGCCTACTGCTTTCTGTGACCGTTGGGTTCAATTCTTACTGTTACGGAATTAATTCTTTGAATTAATTCCAATCTTTATTTTTGAATTGAAACCCATGGTAAATGTTGCTGTTACAAGGTGTAGTGGGGGGTGCCTTAAAGTGCCTCATTAAAAGCTTTTGGCTCTTTCACCCCTATATAAGAGAGGTAGTGAGAAGCAGATTTTTACAACACTACAGCACTACCACTGTACACGAAACATTGTTTTCCAGCCTCAAAATTCTGCTTCTACTCACTTTCTTTGCCTACTGTGTTCATAGCTTGTCTTGCTCGCCGGATCCTTTGTTTGAATGCTCAAACATTGGATCATAGAAAGTTTTATCCTGGGAAGCCTAGGTCACAACGCTTCTAGCATCTACGAGAGGTGGCAAATAAGGTTTTAAGGAAAGAGTGCTCACTCAACTCTTGCAAAAACCCAACATCAAACACTAGCCTTTTCCTTCATTTTTTCTTCTCTCATTTCCAGAAAATAATAGTCATATTTTATTTGATTATTATTTGTTTTCCTACCAACGGTTCCTACACCTTAGTGGTCTTGATGATATAGGCAATTCAATGCAAAGGCAAAGCAAAAGATAGTAAGGTCGCATTTCTCGCCCAGATTGGCGTTGTCTCCGTATTTTGACCATATCTCGGTCTAGGAGTGTCAAAATCAAGTGATTTTTATATCATTGAAAAGCTAACTTCAAGGGCTACAACTTTGATGAAGACAACAAATGATAATTCAAAGTTTTTGCGGGTGAAAAATAGCCTAGAAGACGAACTCAGTGCACAGGTAGTGCACACTGCCTGTGGCCACGGCCGTGGCCAGCGTCTGCAACACTTGACAGCTCCGATTTTACCCTTTAAAAGAGGATTTTTTCACCCCAAAAACACATCTTTCATTCCCCTTTCATTTCTCTAGTTAGGGTTTGTTTAGAATAGCTTAGATTAGTGTAGATTTGTGTTTCCTTTCCATTTCCAAGCTCAAGAATATTGCAAATCTTGGATTCCAAGGCTTCAATAGAGAAGTTTTCTTATTCATCTCTTCTCTTTACTTTTCATCTATGCTTTCAATTTCTCTTTTAATATTGTGTATCTATTGTTATATTATGAGTAGCTAAGTGTTTTGGGACTAGGATTTGGTTTGATTTCTTGCTATTGATGCCTATTTGAGTTGTATTGCATAAAGGGGATTATTTGGGTGATCTAGGGTTGTTGTGTGAAATGGGTTTGTTGAGAAATTTGTGTATGATTGTTGGATCCCAATTATATGCTTGATTTGGAGTGTGTTTGTTGCTACGAGAGTAGAGCTTGTACACTAGCCACACATTCACACACTTAATA